GTGTGGAAAGCAAAAAGTCAAAACGCCACGACAAAAATACGAGTAACAGTAATTGCCGTTATTTTTGTTGCTATTGTTGCTTTTTTTTGTGGGAAAGTCAAAATATGGATGCGAAAGGACCGCCAGCACACCCGACAAAACACACAGAGATAAGAGATGTCCGAAGAAGGAATGAACTGGGTGATAATGGCGGAAAGCCTTAAACAGAAACCCCGTATTGGATGGGGATGCATTCCTCTCCACTTCACCATATTATGTTCTGGGTCATCACCTAAATTTCCACACCAAAATTTTGAGCCGATACCGATTTTAAAGGAATGATTGAAATAACAGCACCAGCAACTGTCACCATCTACAGCCATCCCTCTGCTCTTCCTACAGCCTTTAAACGTGATCCACCTCCTTCATCCAGATTCTGTACTGTTGCTGCCTTGCGCAGCAAAAAAGAACCGGATATCCCGAATAGATAAAGATATGGATAAAAAATACTGTTGTATAAAATCCCGCATGTATCTGCATACACTGATAGATATTAGTGTCCAATAAAATCTCGCTCGCGCAATGCCTTTTGTCTCGCCTGCCTTCCTTTCACTACTATTGCCATCTCCATTTTGTACGACATCAAATACAGTTCTTTTTTTTTTCTGAAAAGAGTGCTTTTCATGAATGCGCATCAAAAGTGCTTTCGTGGATACGCACTGAAAATTTTGTTCCGCCTTTATTTTTATTGACGGCATCAAACAAATTTTATAAGCAAAATTGAAGTCTTTCTTTTCCTTCGCTACCTCATAGTAAACCTGTCAAACAACTGATACGCAAAAACCTAAAATACGCTTTCATTTCTCAATCAGCGAAAGACGATCACCCAAACGGTGCTGCATTTGGTTGGGAGATCCTTCCAACAGTTCCTTGAGAAGGTGAGATGGATTTGATTTTACGTACCAATGCCAACTTTCTACTGAAACGCGTTAGCTGGTTTTATGTGGATGCTGCATACTTCGCCGCTGCATACCGAATTCGTCAAACAAACGGACTGCAGCGCCCCTAGGTTTCGAATTCACTCAAATATAAGCAAGTAAGTTTGCCAAAACTAAAGTCGAACATTTATTTTGCAAATTAATATTGATATCCAAACGCCACTGGTCAGTAAGGATGTGGTCCGGAATGTAGAGTTGATCCAAACCGGGTACGACACAGGGAAAAGTTCAGGCGAGGATATGGATAAGTCTTTGAAGACGATTCTTCGCTATCTGATCATAGCACTGTTCCTGATGAAAGTATCATTGATAGGAATGGGAGCATATTTACAAGCTTCGATTTTTAAGTCCAAAACTCAAGAAAGCTTCAGACACTCGGTTTTTACGCCACGTTCATAGTAGCTGGATGTTGTTTCATAACGCATACAGAACCAATAAGGATGAGAAAGAGAGAGAAGAAAAAATATGTACAGCAATTACTAATATTGAAACACAATAAGTAACATCGACAAGGTTTTCAAAGTCAGTGCTGAACAATGGTACTGTCCATCTATCATGTGGTCACGACCGCTTTCATTGACACCATTGAATATCAGTAAGTGAATGCAAACTTCGTGAATGGGAGAATTCTTGACAGGGTTGAAATGTTCGGTGACGGCTTATGTGGCAGCAGTGGAGGTGGAAGATAGCTGCAGTAATGGCATACAAACAGCTCTTCGATATCCTTAGAATTTACAGAACTGGATCTCCATCCACTTCTAACCACACTCTTTGTACAACTAAATTATAACCGCCTATCTTTCAAAATGGCTCTCGTTTCTCTCTTAACAGTGATTATGCCAGGAATCATCAAGTTTGCTAATGTAGAAAGAATGCAAAAGCCTAAATGAAATGAATGCAACAGAGATGAAAATACGGGTCAAGCTGGGCAAAATTTGTTTAAAAAAGTTGTTTAAAAAGGCCTCTGTTTGAAAAAAAGCAAAAAAGAAAAGGAACAAAATTTGCCAAAAAAAGTAAAATTTAGGCATCAGGCAAAATTTCACTAGAAAAACTTATTAAGAGCATTGAATCCAATGGGCAAGCGTTTAAATATGTTAAAAAACAACGATGGTAATGCGCATCAAGGGTTCGATATAAGTATAATTTTTACACAAATTTCACCACAAATATTTATTACGAAACTGATTTTAACTGTCATTTAACAGGTTTCTCTTATCACTCTTTCGGAGTTTAGTTCTTGGATCCTTTCTGCGGTTTCAGTATGAAAATATGGTAGCTGAGCCTCTTAAAATCGCCTTTCTGACAATTCTGGGCTTCAGACATCTGACTTTTTATCATGCCCCACATGCAAATTAACCTCATATCTGTTCCATTCAAAACTTAAATTTGCAGCCACAAGTAAAATGATGTTTGGCGGTTTTTAGTGAGGCAAGGAAGGGCCGAAAGGCCTAACAGTAATGATACCACAGTCAGAGTTAAGAGAAAAACGAGAGTCTTTTTAAAAAACAGACGGTTTTGGAGCTGGAATTATCATTTAATTGTGCAGGCAGTGTGGTTAGAAGTGGATGGAGATCCAGTCCTGCAAATTCTAAGGATATCGAAGAGCTGTTTGTATGCCATTACTGCAGCTATCCACCACCCCCCGCTGCTACTACACAAGCCGTCACCGAACACTTCACCCCTGTCGAGAATTCTCCCATTCACGAACTTTGCATTTACTTACTGCTGCTCAGTGGTATCAATGGAAGTAGTCGTGATCACACCGATGATAGATGGACAGTACCACTGTCCAGCACTGCTTTGAAAATTCTGACAGTGTTACTTATTGCGTTTCAGTTTTAGTAATTGCTGTGCAGATTTCTCTCTTGCTGTTAGTGGTTCCGTGCGTGTGTTTGCGTGTTATGAAGCAACACATTCATTTGTACTGTAAAAACTGAGCTGCAAAAACAGCTTTTCTTACTGTCTGAAGCTTTCTTGAACTGTAAACTTATAGACATGCTCTCATTCCTATCGATGATACTATCGTCAGGGACAGTATTGCGGTCAGACAGCGAAGAATGGTCTTCAAAGACTTATCCTGATCCTCGTCTGAACTTCACCCAGTGTCGTACCTGGTCTGAATCAACTCTTTGCGATCCGGACCACATCCTTACTGACCAGTGGCGCATGGATATCAACAGCAATATTAATTTGCAAAATAAATGTTCGGTTATGTTTTTGGCACACTTACCTGCTTATATCCACGTAAATTCAAATCTAAGGGCGCTGCAGACCGATCTTCTTTATGAGTAACAATTTTGCGCAAAAAGAACGGAGAAAGGCCAAATTTTAGAAGCGCGTCCGATGCAAAGCCAGCCTTAGTAATTCGCTACGTGGCACCTGATTAATATATTCGGCGTTTTAGAAATAATTTGCGCAATTTTTGATCCTAAGACGAACGAAGAGGGCATCTGATCGATTGCTTTGTATAGTCCGTCTTACGGTCGCAAGCAGCAGGTATTCAGGCTCAGCGAGCTTCCACGAAATTCATTTCTCGATAAGTTCTTGAAAAAAATGTTGGTTGGCATCGGAGGATGAGTGCATCATCAATTTTCTCGGAAGTGTCGTGCGGCATCTTCGGTATGCGAAACATAGCGATGGGCAATTTTCGACGTCGTATGGGAAGTTGACTGTGTTGTTCTTCAAATGAGAAAAAGCAACATGCAACCCACATAATAGGATATTCATGAGAACTTATTAAAACGCGAACTTCTTCACACAGCCCCCATTTTCAGTACTAAAAAATGCGAGCGTTCTGCGCTACGAAAGTGAAGCGGAAGGATGCCATCATAATAGCACCGAAGAACCGAAAATTTATGTTATTCTGGCGAAACGTATTCACAGCCAAGCCAATCAGACAACTGACGACGCTGCCCTGGTAATTCTTAATTCATATTACTTTTTTAACTCAGTGTTTATTTCTTTCTGTTTTTGCTGCGCGATGAGATCGCTGTGGAATTTGAGCAGCCTGGCAGCTGAATTTCTCCTTGTGTTATCTTTTCGAAACTTTAGTATTTGTTACGATGCAGCCCACTTGCTGGAGATGAAAAAATTTTATCATAGTGAGTAATGTTTTCAACTGATCAAATTAGGCAAGTTTTGGCGATGAAATTGCGAGAGAATATGATCTGGAATCACAGCTCTGCAGGAATTTCATTATG